TCTCGCCTTGCTTTCAGAAATTGTTACCATTAATTTTCCCTATTAATTGAAGCAGTCTGTGCTATTTTTGTGATGAAATTTGACAGAAATAATAAACAGGTTGACCTGTTTCTGTATTTCTTCTGTATCCACCACAAACCTGGAACTTTTTTTCTCACTTTTATTTGTGTATATTTTATAAAGATGAGCAAGGTTTATAGAAAAAATAGTCTTCTTATTAATAACAAATTTTATCCTCATAAACGTTACATTTATAAAAATCGAACAATCATTAAAAACTATTTTTAGCTCAGATTGCTAACGTACTTACTATAAACATCTATAAAATGGTAAAAATAATGTACAATTTTACATTTTTTGCTGGTAGTAGAGTAGTGACCTCATTCAGAAATTATAAAATATATTATTTTCAACTACAAGTCGAAATGAAAAATATCTTTCTTATAAAACATCAAAACAATTGAATAATTTTTATCAGGAATAATTTTTGACAACAACATTTCTGCCCAGATCCAGCATTAACCAGAACATTCTATTGTTGATAAGTTAGGGGGCTCTAAAGAATGACATCATTCCTAATTTGCATATGTTAACAATGACATCACCAACATAGTAATAATACTATGTTTCTATTTACGGAGCACAGCACAGAGTGCCTATAATTTGATAACTTAAGTAGTTTTCTTTAAATTGATTGTGTTCATCCAAATTGGGACTACATTGATGCAGAATTTTAATCAAATTATACAATGAAATGCGAAAAATATGCATTGTATAAGAAAAAATATGGTTTTGTGAGTGATTGCAGTAGTTTACACAATTGATGTATCCTGAGAATTGGAACAATTTCTTGACATCTGTCGATTTGAATAAAAGTCAAAAGTTCTCTTTGAACACGAATGACTTTTGTTGCAATTTCACAAATTTATGTAAATTCTTATCTTTGCTTTAATTAATAAAGAGGTTCAGATAGAATTGAAAAGAAAATCTTGTTTTATTCATACTTTTGTAAATATAATGGGCCCACAATAAAAATTGTATTTCGTGCTCATTAAAAAAATCTTGCAAAAAACATAATTTCAATACAACTATTTTTGGGGATGAAATGTGTCTGTGTTTGTTTTTTTAAAAACGAAGCCATTCAAATGTATGATGGCAAAAAAAAAATGTACAAATACAAATTCAACAAAAGCATGTTTGCTTATGTTTAAAAAAAATACTTCTGCTTTTGAAATTACAAACCATGTTTGTGTCTCTCTGTTTCCTTGTAATAATAAAAGACTGGATATGTTAGGGGTTCCCATGGAGAAATGAAAGCTCTTAGAAATCCATAGCTCCTTGCAATAGCATTCACATCTTTCCTACGTGACGAGATCAAAAGAAAAAATTCTGTTTTCTTCTGCTTCTGAGTTCACCTAATTTTGAAGTGTATCTAATTTTTAAAAAGAATTTTTGAAAGGAATTTTTGTATACATCCTGAGAAATTATCTCACTTTAGAAAAATGCAGTTTTTAACCTGTCTGTTTAATTGTTCAAGAACGATTACTCAATAGATACAAAAGATTGTTATAATTTATATTCTAATAAAATTCAATTAGAAAAATCTGAGCGATCACAGCCCGAAATATCATGTAATGTGTTGTTCTCGTAAATGCATTTTCTAACATGTTAATTATTGCCATAAGGTCTTGGGGTATATTGTAAATTATTTTATTTTCCAGTTATTCATTTTTACAATCGGATAATTTAAAGAAATTTGTGAAGATGAAATCACCATAAAAGTCGTTGTGACTTTAAAGATCACAGTAAACTAAAAGTTCCGGGTTTTTTTTTGAATAAAAAAGTGTAGGTAGACTAAAAATGTTCTTGTCGTTCTCAGCTTTCAAGTCTTTGTATCCATGACATGAAGGATGAGTTAGTTTGGCACGAAATTAATCTGGATTTCAGAAATAAAAAGCTGCAAGCTCACTAATCATGACATTGAAACTAAAATCTGTGATATTCCTGTAAAAGCTATTTTTATGGTTTTTAGAAGGCAGAGAAATATAATGACGCCTGTGGCAAGTTGAAACCATTAATAATCGGGGCATAAACTCTCAAGGAAATGATGACATCATGTCAAATAAAATTAATGAATGTTTCAATTGTAATGATGATCAGATACTTTGTTCATTGTTGTCAAGTCATTCTGAGGTAGCTAATTTGAATAACAATAGCCTAATATGAGTCATATCTCATTCTTGATATGCAAATTAACTCCACCGGGGTGCTCATAACTCCCATACAGTTATAAGTAGCGATTTTTTTCCATCCCAAATGTAACTTTTCTACCAAGCTAAGGAGGCTGTGACTCATGATCATGTGACTTTTGAAGGTCAAGGTCATATTTCATAATTTACTTGCAGCTGCTGAGAAAAAAGTCATTTTTCAAAAAAAAATGATGTATATCTTGATAACCCAAGTGGTTTAGGTTTATGCAGTAGAAGGATATACTGTGGAATACTTTATTTTCGCTGGAATTAATTTTCGCTGAAAAGACTTTTTGGGCGTTCTGTATGGAATTTATTTTCACTGATTTTTGATGAGTTGAATGTGAAATATAGGAAAAAAAGTATATTCGCTGGATTTTATTTTCACGGAATCATCCCTTTTGCGAAAATAGCGAAAATAAATTCCAAGCGAAAATAAAGTATTCTACAGTAATAACCAAGGTTATGAACTCTGATTTCTATGATGTCAAAAGATGTCAAATGTACAGAAATCTGAGCTGAAAGAGTTTCGTTTAGTTCTTTGATGCAGGGAAAAAGACTGTAATACATGTAAAAGTAATAACTTTATATGAAAATAATTGTCTACCTCCCAAAAAACGTAAATAACTTGAATAAGCTGATTCCATTATTCATTAAATCTTCAATGCCAGGATTTTGGTGCAACATTTAGTAATTTTGTATTTCTTTGTCACAGTTTGGTGGTCTCCATTTTCTTCTTGTACAAGTAGTTCAGTTTATAGAATCGTCCTCCAGTGTTTAAGTGAAGTGAAGTCAAGTGGAGTAAAGGGCTTACTTATTAGTGTTTTATACTTAGATGTTTGGTTAAATTAAAACCCAGTGAATATACATAATTGACAATAGAATGTATCCGTTTCCTTTACAAACCAGTGAATATGAAAAACTTACAGTATCTAGTGTATATTTCTTCTATACTGTAAAAGGGCTTAATTATGCCCTGGATTTTGCTTATTTCGCTGACTGGAAAATGCGCTAAATTAAAACCCAGTGAATATGTAAAATTTAGCATAGGACACATTATCTAAATGATAAAACCGTGAATTTCAAACCCACTGAATATGCCTGAAATGGTAAATTAGCGAAATTAAAACCCAGTGAAAATTAATCATTTTACAGTATATTCACTATATGTTCCATGGTGTTAATTAACGACATTACATTATGGTTCGTTTTTGAAACCAATTACGTTTTATTCATGTATATATGCATTAATATTGTATGGCTGATATAATAGTTGTTATTAAATGTTTATAATGACATTAATACATATTTTCTGCATTAATCATTTATTTTAAGTGTTGAAATTTTTGTGTCAATGCCTTGTTAGCTTTGTCTCAGTCAAAGCACGCCCCTGTAGCAGGACTGAATTGGTAGGGTTTAATTTGGGTACTGTAGAATACTTTTTTTTCGCTTGGAACTTATTTTCGCTGAAGGGATGATTCTGTGAAAATAAAATCCAGCGAATATACTTTTTTCCTCATATTTCACATTTAAACTCATCAAAAATCAGTTTATGAAAATAAATTCCATACAAAATGCCCAAAAAGCCTTTTCAGCGAAAATTAATTCCAGCGAAAAAAAAGTATTCCACAGTTGTTGATTACTGAGAGGTATTCAATAAAGAAAACAAGATTGTACATGTCTGTAACATTTTTCAATGTAGAATTTTCTTTTTTGTCAATGACGTGTCTGAGAATGAGCGTAACCAAAAAATCTTTGTCCATTCTGACGCATCTTATTGAGTCAGCATATAAACACTGTGCTCATTCAATGCAAGACAGTTTCGCTTAATATAGCCAATTATTTAACCCTTTGTGCGCAAAATTGTTTTTTTGTTCAAATTGGGGTAAATTTGTTCACATTTTGTAAAATTTCACTAAATTCAATTTTAATTTTGAACCAAAGAAACAAAATTTGACATTACTTCTACTTTTTGATCAAAAACATTTTTTGTGGAACATGGCAGACTATAAAAAAGACGTTTTTTGTGGATGGTGACTGAAGTTTACTTTGTCGCTTAAAAGGTTAAGTCGCCATCTCAATCTGAATTATTTCAATTATAAATACCGGTACCACCAAATATTGAAAACTTGATGTACAACCCTAATGAAGAAGAATATCGACCATTTTGTTATCGCATCAAATGTACCTAGAGGAGTGGTTACCACTTTTTTTTTTTATAAACATGAATTTGAGAGAGTGAAGTTAAAATACTGCTTCAAAGAAAATAACTATTAGCCTTGGAAGCAGGAAATGGATGACTAATAAAGTTAATGTTAAATTACTAACATTTTAAAGAGTTTTAAAGATACGAAGGTGATGACTATATCAACTTGGTTATTACCTATAATAAATATATAAATATAGAAAATAATATGACATGATACATGTTTATAAATTTATTAATTGTTTTGTACATACTGTAAAATGACTAATTTTTACTGGGTTTAAATTTCACTGATTTACCATTTCAGGCACATTCAGTGGGTTGTAAATCCCCGGTTTTATCATTTAGATAATGTGTTCTATGCTAAATTTTACATATTCACTGGGTTTTAATTTAGCGCATTTCCCAGTCAGCGAAATAAGCAAAATTAAAACCCAGTGAATAATTAATCCTTTTACAGTAATTCAGTGCAATGTTATTGGTATTAATAATTCATCTATTGTTTTATGGGAATTAATGTACGATATTTTATTTTCTGATTGCAGGTAACTATTCGTGAATTATTGTCTAATTCTTGTAAGGTTGATACCGATGATAATTGCGAAGTGGTAGTTTATGATCAATGTACCCATGATGCCTCAGGAATCCAATCAGAAAATTTTCTCTCTGTCTTACTTGGTAAATTATCAGGAACTTTTCAGCGTGTTTCTCTTCTTACAGGTGAGTGAATTGTGGTGGTAGAAATTTATATACTAATTTGCATGATATTTGCATAATAATGTCAAACCATAATTGTAATGCTAGTGCTGACATATAGTCAATTTTGCCACAGAAGTTGTATTCATGTGTGGCCATCTCTCTGTCACATGGCAATTTTAATGCGCTATCCTGGCGTCAACCAGGCTCAGTTGAACACAAGCACCTGCGGACCTTAACCAAGGTTCCCCCAAAGTCGCATTCATTAGTGAATGAATCTTGGCCAGTGGAATTGGCCTTTCCTTCATCTGTGGCACACTCACCCAGGGTAGGGGTCGACCCTTTGATGTTCAGCCTAAGGTAGGATTTGAACTTGGGTCTACCGATCATGAGTCTGAAGCGAAAACCACTATGCTCCCAGTGAGCGGTTGCAATAATTAACATACTGATTAAAATACGAAATTGCACAAATTTACACAATTATTTACTTGTAAAACTGTTACAGCCTCACAAGTGACACAACTATGCACGAGTTTTTCAGTTTTCAGCAATTGTTATGATTTAAAAAAGTCAGCATTGGCACAGTGGAAATAAACCACCGTGGTAGTCATAATAATGTCTGTGTTGATGAATAAAAAACACTTGTGGTACCACCAACCATCATACTGTTTGTATCCTGGGCATAAAACTGATCAATAATTAATTAAAAACGCATAGGATAATTTTATACGTAAATTATTTGCTGTATTAGAAGAAGAGCCTACTTAAGATACCATGTATTTCATTGTAGTGGTGCAATAAACCCACATACGAGAGCTACTAATGCAACTGCAGTATTGACTTCTCCACTTTACTTTATATAGCTTTGAGTGCCATAATTTTTCCTCGCACATTTTGCAAAGTTGCATGCATTTTCCAAAAATTTAATCATTATTTTTTGACCAGCGTAACTTACCATTTCTAACAGGTTTTTGATTACATTTTTTTGAACAATTGGATACAATTATGGGGGTATATTTGCATAATACATGACAAAAGTAGACTTTTGTGCTTTTAAAGAAGTTAAACTTGTTCAGTAAAGAAGATAATATAATGTATTTATGTGTTTCTATCAACAGGTGGCTTTGCTGCTTTTCAGTCTTGCTTTCCAAGTCTATGTGAAACTCAGGGGAATTTCACCAAATGTTCAGCTTTGGCGCCGTTATCCCAACCATGTATGTCAATCAACAATGTGGGACCAACGAAAATACTGGCGTTTCTTTATCTCGGCTCGCAAAAAGACGTTCTGAATCAGGAAGTCATGCACACGAGTGGGATTGAGTATGTACTGAACATTAGCAAGACATGCCCACAGCCTGACTTTCTACCAGATGCACACTTCTGCCGGATACCTGTTAATGACAATTATACCGAAAAAATTATCCCATATATGGATCAAGCTATGGAATTTATAGGTGCGTATCATGTGATATTATTACGGGAATATTGCCTAGTATGCATGAACGTAACAACCAACATAACCTCAGTATCATAAAGCTGCCAGCGAGAAACCTTTTACGTTCTGTGATGTTTCCAGCATTTCACCATTCTGACCTGACATAGGGAATTACATCCCTCAAGCCGATATAATGCATTACTGCGCACTAAAGTTTTTCATGACGCATATAGTTATATATGCTCATTCTCTTTTGCCCTAATGGTACAGAATATCATACATTGATTATCAAAAACAACTTACTATAGATATGCAATTTGGTAAAATGAAATTCAGCAAAATAGGTATAAAAACCAAGAAAATTAGATGCTACGGCAGCTTAGTTTGTGACTTCAGAAGCTCCCTACGTCCACATACATCTTTTTTTTCTCCATCAGCAGTCTCCAAGGTGACCAAACTTGATTTGTGGAATTCCATTGTGAATCGAGATACCCACAAAATTAGTCCTGTTGCAGGGCATACCGACATAGTTGTGATGTTTTATAATCAGAATGCATACTATTTAGACATTACAAAAAATGCACCACCAAAAAAAAAAATAACTCAAGCCAAAACCCCCCCCCCCCACTTGTTTCATCACTGCACAGCACCCTCTGTTGATAAATTATTGAATCTGCAAACTTTGCAAACTGTCATGTATTCTAGCAAATTCTGTGGAATTCTTGACAGTACTAATATATGGCCGTGTCTAGATTGTAACATAGTAGACCATATCACACCTCCTAGACACACAGATGGTGGGTCTCTCATACTCCCAACCAACACTTCCGATGTTATCACCTATTTACTTCCGTTAATCGATATAGAACTGAGTGGAATTGATCTGTCCACCTGATTTCAGTAATTGATACTGCATAACTATTTTAAGAATTGGCTATCAATGACTGTCAGTCACTTAGCTGTGAAACACATACCAGCACCATTTTATATGTCAATTCTTGGATAAATGGACAGCAAGTAAGTCTGGTTAGTAGTGCACACAGAGGGTAGCAAGCCAAACTGCTTATGTACACCACAGAGGGCAGCAAACCAAGCTTGTTGCTGGTACACCATAGAGGGCAGCAAACCAAACTTGTTGCTGGTACACCATAGAGGGCGGCAAACTAGGCTTGTTACATGTTCACCAAATAGTGCTAAATTCTCTGGTTGTTTGTATCTGATAACTGTCAGTGTTTTGATCAATTCTCACTTTCCAAAATCAAACGAACCAATTAATTTTTTTTCTACAGAAAAAGTTCAATCATCTAATGGTAAAGTCATTGTTCATTGTTTGGCTGGAGTATCTAGATCAGCTACTGTGGCAATAGCTTACGTCATGAGGTATCTTCATATGTCATCAGATGATGCTTACAGGTAAGAAGATTTGATTGGTTTATTGAAGTCACATGTTGAGATTCTTAAAAATTCTATTGGCTGATATATTCTAATAGATTTGCTTGGTTTATTGAAGTCACATGTTGAGATTCTTAAAATTCTATTGGCTGATATATTCTAATAGATTTGATTTGTTTATTTTGTATATTTTTTTTGCAAAGAATTAACAAAAATTACAATAAATGATGTTTTTGAAAATTATTTCATATTTTTGTTATCAACAGGTATGTGAAAGATAAGAGGCCAACAATATCGCCAAATTTCAATTTCTTGGGACAGCTTCTGGAATATGAGAAGTTACTAAGAAAAGACAAACAAGGCCCTGATTATGTCATCACTGACCAACCACATTCACGCCCGTCAGGGTGTGGTGACGTCATCACACCAAAACCACGTTCACCAAGTCCTTACCGAGAAACTAAACCTTACTTATTCCATGATAAAGTACACCAATCTGAAACTGATGATGATCCAACGGAGCGGAAACGTTCAAAAGTGTCACCCGGAGTTAAAATACGAGACATTCCGGCGATCCCATATGTTGTTTCCTCCCCATTCCATAAAACACCAGAACGTCCAACTGGATTAGATGTTGTTTCACAATTGGGACCAATTTTTTTGAACTCTTCACCACCTCCACAGTTTACCTGTATGACGGTTCCCAATTTGCCAAGTCCAAGCACGCCTGATAGTATAATGTCCTCGCCCATGCAGGACTCTCCACCTGTGTCTATTTGCTCTAAACCAAGCGGTAAGCCTGTGAGTCCTGTTTCTTTACAGCAAGTCCATGATTTGACTGGATCCCTAAGTGTTAATTCCCCAGGAATTAAGTATGATAATCCTTTTCACGCTGTCTTGAGGAAAAAGAATGCTGCTTCTGTAAAAAACATTGACGTGGACAAACCTGACAGCAGTATTTCTGTCGCAGGCCGCAATAGTCTGTTACTGACAGGGGACCAATCAGGAGTGGTGTTGTGTGGAAACGTTGCCGACTCTGTGACCCACAAACCTGCTACTAAACCTGACGAAAATTGTGGAAGTAGCAACTCTGAGAATGCCTTCTTTAAAACCGTTGCAGATACTGTTTGTAGCAACTCTGAGAATGACTTTTTGAAAACCGTTGCAGATACTGATTGTAGCAACTCTGAGAATGCCTTCTTGAAAACCGTTGCAAATACCAATTGTAGTCAAGCGTCAAAAAACTCTAAAGGGTCTCAGCAGATGGACAGATCTGCTGAGGCCATCACTGTGACAGAAAAGAAGAAGCCGAGAAAAGCGAACAATGTGAAAGTCCACAAATCCACTGTGGACACAGTGGTTCACAAAGACTCACAAACTAAAAGCACAAAACATTCAGTTAGGGAAAGTTTTTCCTTTTCGGAGACTTCTGCATGGACTTCTGCAATGTCAACTCAGTGTGATTTCATGAGAATAGATGGACATGCCGCTAAACTACAGCGATCGTCTGGGTCTGTGGAGTCCTTAGACTGCCATTACCAGGAGATTATGGATATCGATGATACAGGCGCAACTTTAGGTAGCCAGAGATCAATGTGCGGGAGCTGTGAAATGATAGAAGTATCGTAAAATACTCCTTGATAAATATAGTACCGGTACATCCTAAAAACATGCAACATAACCTACTCGTTGAGAAATGGTATAACCAATGAGACGAGGGAGGCAACAGAAAAACAATTTTTTTTTTATTATTTAAAAAAAAATATTCTATATATTATGTTATGTTTAAGTGCAATAAGTTTGTGTGTTTTTTTCACTATTTCAGTTCCAAACAGTGGCCGAAGTCTACAGCAATGGTTATTCAAAAACCCAGCATTTTTTGTGCAATATACAATGATGGTACAAAAAAAAAATGCTGAATTTACAAATAGAACTGCCAGACATTTTGTAAAATAGACCCCATTTAATATGCCTAATTTGTAAGAAACGAGATATTCTCGGTCTATTTATTTATTACCCTTGTTTTATCATTTCAATTACTCAGATATTTGTAATTTTCTTACCTACATCCAAACTATAAAGTGAAAACTTTTTTTCAAATGAAAGTGAAACCATTTTAATATATTGTGTCCTGATCTGTTGACCTATTCCCTCTCTTTTATACCAAAATGGTATAGTCCATTTTAAAAAGAAATAAAAAAAACTACTTTTCCTACGTAAGTGAGCAAGTTGTCAACAGATTGCAAAAAAAAGTACATAGAGCCAAAATCTTCATCTTACAATCAGTACTAAGAAACTAACCGCCTGACCATTCTGCAGTGTTCCCTCTGTTAACAATAAATGCATCCATGTTTTTCTACCTACATACACTGTAAAACCCTTTAATTTCAGTGGTATTTAGTTTCACTGTTTTGATTTTGAATTTCACTGAGTTTTTGAGTTCACAAACTTCGCAGGGAAACAATAAGTTCTATTCTGTTCTTTTACATGTTCACTTGGAACAGTTTACTCATCTACGAAAATAGCAAAATTAAAAACCACGGAATAATGTATTTACAGTATATGGTAACCATCCAATGTAGTGGAAATATTAGGGGTATGTCGAGGGATCTTCTGCAGCGGAATGTTAATGAATTGATTTATTTGATAAATCTAAATAGGTCAACTATTGCTCATTCTATTCTCTAAATGGAGGTGGTCAGAGTAAGATTGTGAATTTTTATCAGGGACTTGTTAATATTCCTATTTTGGTCTGCAAGTATGTTTGGGCTGGGAAGGCTTACCAGATTGATTGTGTTTGAATGTATGAGTGTCGAGCATCCCTCAATTGAGAAAATCTCAGGGTCTTGTTGAACTTAATGTGCCTTGTTAGGGTTGCAGCCAAGCTTAGTATTCCTGCGTCAAGGAAACATGACAAAGAAATTAAAAAAAATATCAGTTGAGATGTTCTGTATCTGTTTTAGGTATGTTGTGAGGTTTGATGTCGTAATTATGAATCCTACCGTCCCTGTGTTGTTTAATAGTATAACTCATAAAATTATTACAGGTCCTACTCAATTAATAAAGTTAATCTTTTCTTATTAGCGATTCTTTCACCTCAATCACAATTCTTGCTTTTCTTAGCTGGAATGATTAAGAAAATCTTTCATCAGAAATTTTGGCTGGAAGATTTTTTTTTTTTGTGATTTTGTCTGAAATTATAAATATTAGTTGGCAGAGTCCTGATTTTTCTAAGTCAGTGATGTGTTTAATATTTCTTATCAATGTATGTTGATGTTTACAATAACAATTATGATTGGTGACTAGCTTGTTTACCTCGTCTTACTGTGATATAAAAACAAAATTGAATAATAAAAAATTATTCATGTTGAAGCAAATTTTTGTATTGGCGAAAAACGTTTCCATGGAAATTAATGTATTACACTTTTACGATCTTAAACGCATGACAACATGAATTGTTATGTAATAGGATATTGTAATTTTGAACACTAACAAACACGGTGTGTGGAGGGAAGGAGAAGGCTTGTAAATATTCATAAAACTACCCTGATCTGATGGCGATTAAAATCTGAATTGGTCGCATCTGGGTATTTCTGATGCTTACTAGCGAGATAATAATTAAATTTCTTCCCAAAATTACTGGTAATTTTCTCCGCATACTAACTGTGGTATTTGACAATGAATGAATGAATTTATTGTACAACATTCCAAATTGCCACAAAATAACAGAATAAGCAACCATTTTGCGTAAACTTTACAAGGTTGTCTTGGTGGTTGGTCAGTGCATGTATTTTTCAAAATAAATGACAACATGGTTACACGAAACCAATTGGTTGGTGACATGATTTTAAACAATTGTTACTTGCGTGGCATCACTTAATTTATTAAACATTTGCCTTATTGTTACCCACCTCCTCGTATAATGGAATAATCCATATCTGGAAATGTTTGAGTTGAACCAAACTGAGGGGGCTGGCAGGGACTGAGTTTACACATTTTCAGGTCATTGTACTTTGCTGTGCCTTGCTTTTTTAAGCCAAGAAGATTGAAATGTTGGCTTTACTAGGTGGTCTTATTAAGACTCCACAAGTTCAGTCATATTGGTGATTAGTTAACACCCCTTGTTATCAAATACAATAAAATGTTCTTGTATATTTAAATGAGTTCGTGTTATTCCCCTTCATCAGCATAGTATGCATTGGCATCTTTTTGTAAAAAAAAATATTTTTGGAGTAAAGTTTTTTTTATTTTTTGTTTTGACCATCCTAGGGTGCCTCATAAGCATTAGTTCATTTAGGTTGGTAACCACTAATCTGTGTTCCAACGATATGATTGCAGTTAAAATGTCATTTTCTAAAGTTTGTCCACATACTGTCAGATTTGTTATCTGACAATCACCTTTAACCTTTACATTACAAACTCCTTTTTTATCACAAAATAGTCTTGCTTTTTTTTCCTTCAGAAGATTGAGACAAAAATAGCCAATTTTTTGAATAAAAATTAACTCAAAAAGTGCAGACAAATTTTGGATGAGAAAGTTTGGTGGTGAAAAGGGGTAACCCTAGTGGGACCTGCCTCTCTGGGGCTAATTTATGTGTTATTTATAAATTCTTTATATTTTACAAATTTACTTGTTCCAATGCATTAATAATCAGTATTAGGTTTCTTTTGTATGTAGTTGATTTTCTTCATAGTTGTAGTAATTATTGCTAGCGGTTATATTTTATTTACCCCATTAGCAATCTGATGTACTGTAAAGAACAATACATAGCCAGCTTCTCATTGGTTGATTTAAGCCAGCTTCTCATTGGTTGATTTAAACCAACTTCTTATTGGTTGCTGTTTATAAACAATAGATCTCATTGATTGACCCACGTCAGGTGACTATATTTGGTTAGTTGTGAGACAAATTAGGCTAACTTTCTTGCAATGTAAATACCAAAAGTGCATACATTGGGGGAGGGGGTGAATGTCTATTTGAGTTACAACACCATGCATGTCACTCAGAGTGTTATGACAAATCTTGTTCAAAGATTGAACTTTACCGTGAATATGCACATTCATGTTTACCATTTATTGCTAGTTTTAAAATGACTGATTACTCGTTTATTTCTGTGAATAACAAACACATTTGAGTTATCTGTAGTAATTTAGAACTAGTTTTTTTGAGTTTCGTATGCATTGTATCAGGAGTTATTTTGTTAATATTTTGTGTTATTTGCTTCGGATTACTCTTTCAGTGCCTCAAATACTGACAGTGTTCTTTTTTCATGCCAGATAATCTTTATGTGATGTGCGTTGTCTATAAGAGTTTGTTTGTTGCTTGTCGTTGATGTACATCATTTGTTTACAAAGCAATAAATAATTATACCCTGAATACAGTGTAGAGTTTTTTGTTTTTGTTTTAGAAAATATTGTCACATGGCATTATTATATATCTGTCATTGTAACTGGATAAGTTACAGCGTGCCATGATTTCACGGTATTTTATAGGGGAATTTTCATCCTACCATATTAGGAAATGCGAATTCCAAATATAGAATGATTACGTGCATAAGCGTCCTCTAATAATAAAAACAAACATCGCTGCCACTACGGTTTGACCAGACTCCATGCAAAGAAGTTCGCAAATTCTGTTTTAATCTGTTCTATAATTCTGTTATAATAATGGTATTTCCATGATGTATCCTTGGTAGGAAAAGATTTATAATAAGTTTGTTACAAAGATACCTCAATGTATGCACTCTAACAGTACACTGTTGCATCGACCGACGCGCAGCGGAGGTCGTTACTGCCACTGTACTGTCTTCGAGCATACTTTGAGGTATCTTCGTAATAACCTTATATTATCATAATGTGAAGTATATGAAAATTTGGTAAAATGTTTGCCAGCAACAAATCCCTCCAGCCCCCAGATTGTGATTGGGTAATCCCTTATGACATGGTATATGTGTGAATACAGGTAATGAGGGAAGGGTTCACCCATCTCCAGTATGGCAGTGGGTATTACAATAAAAGTGGGTTTATGAGCACTCTATGAATATGGGTCTTTGATAAGAATAGAAGAGTGGTCATTCACAATATACACATTAATACAAATGTGGCACTTCACAATCGCCATATGAAGACAATTGCCATATGAAGACTAGTGTGAAGTTCGCAATCGCCATATGAAGACAATTGCCATATGAAAACTAGTGTGAAGTTCTCAATCGCCATATGAAGACAATTGCCATATGAAAACTAGTGTGAAGTTCTCAATCGCCATATGAAGACAATTGCCATATGAAGACTAGTGTGAAGTTCACAATCCCCATACAAATAAGTGTGTGGTTTACAAATTCAATGCAAGTGTAAGGTTCACCTGTGAAATAATAAGTGCCTGCTGACGATCTCTTATACAAGTAACATGTAGTTTGCAAACTCCATATGAATACAAGTGTATGGTTTATGCTCTTCATATCAGTACAAGTGTGAAAGTTTGCAATATGCTTATGAATCCAAATTTGGTAATTAAAATTCCTATACGAATTCTAGTGTAGGGTTTGAGATACAAGTGTGTGGTTAAAAATCTATATGTGAATGCAAGTATGTGGTTTACAATCTATACCTGAGTATAAGTGTGACGAATACTAGCTCCACATATATACAAGTATCTGGTTTACTATCTGTATGAATAAAATTGTTTGGGTTTGCATTCATCATATGAATATAAAAGAAGTTTTGCGTTCACAATCTAAGTGTGTGGATTACAATCTCCATATGAATACATGTGCATGGTTTGCAATGTCCATATGAGCACAGGTGTGTGTGTGTGGTTTACAATCTCCATATGAACAGAAGTGTGTGGTTTGCAATTTCCACATGAACACATGGGTGTGTGTGGTTTACAATCTCCACATGAACACAGGTGTGTGTGTGGTTTACAATCTCCACATGAACAGAAGTGGATGGTTTACAATCTCCATATGAACAGAAGTGAGTGCAATTTCCACATGAACACAGGTGTGTGTGTAGTTTACAATCTCCACATGAATACAGGTGTGTGTGGTTTACAATCTCCACATGATTACATGTGTGTGTGGTTTACAATCTCCATACGAACAGAAGTGTGTGGTTTGCAATTTCACATGAACACAGGTGTGTGTGTGTGGTTTACAATCTCCACATGAACACAGGTGTGTGTGTATGTGGTTTACAATTTCCACATGAACACAGGTGTGTGTGTGGTTTACAATTTCCACATGAACAGACGTGTGTGGTTTACAATCTCTACATGAACAGAAGTGTGTGGTTTACAATCTCCATATGAACAGAAATGCGTGGTTTACAATCTCCATATGAACAGAAGTGTGTGGTTTGCAATTTCCATATGAACAGAAGTGTGTGGTTTACAATCTCCACATGAACAGAAATGTGTGGTTTACAATCTCCACATGAACAGAAGTGTGTGGTTTACAATCTCCATATGAACACAGGTGTGTGTGGTTTACAATCTCTATATGAACACAGGTGTGTGTGGTTTACAATCTCCATATGAACACAGGTGTGTGTGGTTTGCAATCTCCATATGAACAGAAGTGTGTGGTTTACAATCTCCATACGAACAGAAGTGTGTGGTTTACATTCTCCATATGAACAGAAGTGTGTGGTTTACAATCACCACATCAACAGAAGTGTGTGGTTTACAATCTCCATATGAACAGAAGTGTGTGGTTTACAATCTCCATATGAACACAGGTGTGTGTGTGGTTTACAATCTCCATATGAACACATGTGTGTGTGGTTTACAATCTCCATATGAACAGAAGTGTGTGGTTCACAATCTCCATATGAACATAAGTGTGTGGTTTACAATCTCCATATGAGCAGAAGTGTGTGGTTTACAATCCCCATATGAACAGAAGTGTGTGGTTTACAATCTCCACATCGACAGAAGTGTGTGGTTTACAATCTTCATATGAACAGAAGCGTGTGGTTTGCAATCTCCATATGAACAGAAGTGTGTGGTTTACAATCTCCACACGAACAGAAGTGTGTGGTTTACAATCTTCATATGAACAGAAGTGTGTGGTTTACAATCTCCATATGAACAGAAGTGTGTGGTTTACAATCTCCACACGAACAGAAGTGTGTGGTTTACAATCTCCACGCGAACAGAAGTGTGTGGTTTACAATCTCCATATGAACAGAAGTGTGTGGTTTACAATCTCCATATGAACAGAAGTGTGTGGTTTACAATCTCCATATGAACAGAAGTGTGTGGTTTACAATCTCCACATGAACAGAAGTGTGTGGTTTACAATCTCCACATGAACAGAAGTGTGTGGTTTACAATCTCCATATGAACAGAAGTGTGTGGTTTGCAATTTCCATATGAATAGAAGTGTGTGGTTTACAATCTCCACATCAACAGAAGTGTGTGGTTTACAATCTCCGTGTGAACAGAAGTGTGTGGTTTACAATCTCCATATGAACAGAAGTGTGTGGTTTACAATCTCCACATGAACAGAAGTAAGTGGTTTACAATCTCCATATGAACAGAAGTGTGAGTTTACTATCTCTATATGACTAAAAAAATTATTAATTGTAGCAGAAAAATGTAATTCATCTCCCATGTAAAACAAGAACTACCGGGGTATAGCCTGAGAAGGGGTACATTTTTTTTTAGCAAAATTGATTGAAATTGGTATCCTTTTTTTTTTTGCATTTTTGCGGGCTGTCTGGAAAAGGATAGAGGGTCTGGGGACATATCCCTATCACTTTTCCTTAGTAGAGCTAGTTCGATATAATAGTAAACTAAGGAGAGCAGTTGATTTAAACCTCCCATATGAATATTCATGAAATGAAATGAAGGGAATGGATTTGTAGTGTTGATAGTATATTGAAGTTTAATTCAGAATATATTGAAATATACATCAAGTTCTTCAAATTACAATTCACGAAATACTAAAAAACCCACCGAACAGCAAATGTTCATTTTATATTGAAAGGGCATCCACAACTTATTTGTTGTTAAGGCAATTGAAGCGAATATTAGGATTCATATCAATAATAAATGACTTCTTCATCCCTTTGTCACCCAGCACAGATACAAAGAATTAATTTCACCATAGACCCCAGTGCAAAAATTCTAATTTGGACCATTTTCCATGGCATTTCAGTTTCCCCAAAAAAGTGTCCAATGATTCCAACTACCGGGGGTAATTCATTATAAGTAACCTAATTGTATTATAACCCATAATATTGTAATCATGAAAAAGATGACATATAATCAGTTTTATGAAACAATAATGGTTAAACATCATTCGTATATAAAATATTATTCATATTGTTACTGTTAATTACCAGTAAAAAAAATAATTTTGATTTTATTACAAGTGTAATTTCCCTGAATATTATAAGAAAAAATTATTTAATTCCTTGTTTAGGGGCTTGATGGGTGAACTGTGACAACATGGATCTGTGATTTTAACTGTATTTGATTATTTACAGCTTTTGTAACAACTGATTATTAAATTAGATGTATAAATATCTATTCTGACGTTCAGATATATACGTGTGCTTGGTGAATGTGCTCAAAATGACTACCGTAGTTTGACAGTAAAACAAATGTATGCAAATGTACATAACTCCCTAAGCTCATCGGAGAGTGTAGATGTAATTACAGTATTTGCATATTGAGCATCCTCAACTTATTCAACAAATGTTGAATGCTCATAATAATATGGCAGCCTTTCCTGCTGATCATACATGTAGTTGATCAAATGAACCTATCGCCATGGAAATCGAAAGTGGACTGCCATTGAAGACTACAGGTTCCTTCCAATTTTGCATTCGCTAATGGGGCCAATAATAAAATAGTACATCTGGCAAAATTAGTCCAGTAATTAATGCAGAAAATAAATTAACACCATTATTATCCAGGAGAGGTATTCCACTTATTTTTGTTGTCCTTGACGATGGAACATCTGTCACCATACCCCGGTCCTCTATAATACCTATAAACAAAATTATGCAAATTAGTTTGAGAAACAAGTTAAATCATGAGTTGACACCTTGAATCGAGTCAACATGTTTTGTGCACGTTTCTGTTGGAAGTAATTCAAGGGGCATTTGGTGTTAAATGCCGATGACACGATTTGAAAAAAACGACAACAGCAACAATGTTTCACATTGGCTCTTTAACAGCTGATTAAACTCATGAAGCACAAAATCATTAGATATTTTCTTTCATCCAGTTACTCGCGACTGAGGCGTGAATCAGCGAGGGGTCAATGTATAACACAGACAAAAGAAATGGACATGAAAAAAAACAAAATGAACAAATCTTGTGTACAACATTTTCTTCACACAGTTGTTCTGAATTTCATTTTGATGAAAGATCGGCTTGCAATTAATGAGTGATATGAAATCATGCTACATTTATGGTATTTTAACACAAAACATTCATAATTTTATCATATACTTTAATATTCGTACACACAAGTACATATAGAACCGTGGGCTTGCTATTTAAACAGATTATAAATCGTGTTGACGTATTGAGGTCATCCACTTATTAGATCCTACTACAAGTGAATCATGATGATTATTGTGATTGATTATGTCATCATCATAATGATGTCGTCTGTTGTCATGACTACTACCAATAGCAATCAACTCACCCGAGTATTGTAGAGTAGCTCCTAATAAGGAATCAATCATACTACCGACCAATCCAGCAACCCCTCCAGCAAAGACAATCGGCCACTGTGGCGGTGCGTATCCAAGCTCCCTCCCAGAATGGGTCATAAGTTGTGTTATGTAATATGCAACTCCAACAATCAGTCCACCTAGAAAACTAGACACAGTACCAGCCAATGAGATGCCACCATTAGTGCCTGCAAGCAAATCAGAACAAATTCTGTAAATGGCGCAGGAACAGGAACTTTCTAGCCACAAACTTTTCAAAAACTTCAGGCATCTTCCATGTTTGGGATTTTTGCATTTTTTAATATGGTAGGATGCAGAAATCGCATGCAATACCACTACCGATAAATTACAGCATGCAGTAATTTATGGATATATACGAGGCATACTGTAAAACATGTCTTTTTCGCGAGCATGTCTTTTTAGCGAATTTAGCGAGAGAACCGATTCGCTAATTCAAGATGTCGCTAATGATTTTTATTATAAGTTAAAAATGGCCATGGCTTGGGGGATTTGTATACAGTAATCCGGAACATAAAATCTGGGGCGCTTCCTAATTACACTTGACAGTTTTTCTTTGTTTTTATGGAGGTGATAACTGCGCATATGTTTTGGCACGCGACAGACAAGTATTGTGAAAACTAGAAATCAACAATGACAAGAGAGATTTGCTAAATCAACATTTCGCTATTACGTCATTACCACAATTCGCTAAAATTGCACGTCGCTTTTTCAACATGTTTTACAGTATATACTGTAAACAGATTAATTTTTGTGGGAGACAAAAATTTTATGAATCACAGAAAACTGCAAAATTTTGTTGTGATCTTCAGAAAAGAATTCATAGTGATTTTCCTGACTAATTACCATATCTTGAAAATTATTAATGAAGATTACGATGTAGTTGTCTTACCAATGGGTACTTTATTGAAAGTTAATATATGCCTTGGTTGTGAATTCCCGATAACACTACCAATTTCTGATGCCCAGGTATCACCGCAGTTACATGCAATAACAGATAATACCGATAGACATAGCCATGTACTGTTATAATGTCGAGAGAAGTCTAATAGCTGCTCACGACTTCCATTGTCTAACATGAAAATCACTGCCAGTTCAGTGGCTATTCCACCATTACATACTACTTGTTGCCAGTTACGTTGTCCACCTACGTAGAGAAGAGAAACGTTATTTTTAAAGTCAATGATTTATAAGACAAAGGTATGCAACTCTCGTACCATGTATGCGACATCATGAAAACTAAACTTTTGCACTTTGCAAGCAAATGAGAGAAATCCTATTTCAATTGAAAAAAATTGTAATTAATAAAGTTACAGAATGCAGTAGATACTTTGAAATGAGTGAGCTTTTTGTTGGATTAAAAAATGCAAAATGCATGTATAAATTTGCCTTGCAAATAAACAAGGATATTATCAAAACAAGCAGCCTATCGGCTGAGATAGCTCCGCTGTTAGCAATGCACATTTCAATTAAAGAACTGGAGACATCATTAGAAAATGAACAATATGTATAGTATCAAAGCAATCGGACTTACAGTTTTTAACAAGAAGTCGAAAATATTACTTTTTACCGAAAATT